AATATTAATATGTAGTATTATTCGTAAGGCTTTTCTCGAGTCCATAAGACAGTTTTATGATTATTCTATTAACCTGTTAATGGAACTTACTATTCTATTAAATTATACAGCTTCTTGGTTCCTAATAAAAATGTAATAAATAATATATTAATATTATATAGCTTATTATAAAGAGGTTTCTTATCAGAGTTCTTTTTAGTTAAAGAACCTACAACCTTAAAAGACTTTTAGCCATGGAATATATTATTTTTTTTGAGTATAAATTTTTATTATAATAAAAAAGCTATTTTTTTAAAATCGTCCTATTATTTCTCTCACTGCCAGAGTCTCATCTTTTCTGGTTTGTGTGTGTTTTTGTGCACTTTACGACTTTAATTATGTAAGTACATAATTGTGTTATTATCGTAAGCTGGCTGGGCGCAACACATGCCGGATCCGGGTTCGGGTCCAGCTAAATTTTGGGGCTTTGGTCCTGCTTCTAGTCTATGTCCTTGTCCGTGTCCGTGTCCGGGTCCGGGTCCCGGGTCTGTCTCTGGGTCGTGATCCGAGTCCAGGGGGGTGTTGTGTGTGTGTGTTTTTCCGTGACCTCGTCTGGCCGCTTGGCAAGCATTTTACGGCCATTAAGTCCGGCAGTGTCTTTTGCCCGGACACGGACCCGGATTTTGCGGAGGCCTAACCACTCTGGTCCGTTGTTTACATTATAATCTTGCCTTCTGTCTCCTGCCTTTTGCCAGGACCGGCTACTGTCCTTTTTCTCCCCCCAACCCCTAGCCTCTATTGCTTTCTTATTATTTAAATTATGAAATTTTACTTTTAATTATGCATCGAATATACATTTTTTTTTTTGGTATCTTCGTGCGGAGGAGGGCCGAATATTTGAAAAATGTTGGTTCTTTTCTTGTAATTTTTTTTCTTTGCAATTATTTTCTTTTAATTAATGCTCATGTATGCGTGCCGGAAAAGTTTCAATTCAATTATCGCTTTGATAAATATATGTAAATAATGCTCCGAACATCTGAGCCTGACAAATGAGTCTTGGTATCGTATTTTTCTTGCGTGGGCCACAGACATCAAATTTCAAAGAAAAAGTTACAAAACAAACTCTCCCCACTCCCCCAGAATGTAAATACAAATGTTAAAAAGTCAATACCTTGTGGAATTCATCGAAATACATTTTTAAAAAGATTTTTTTTTTTTAAGAAAAATTTAATAAATTAGAGACTAACAGAGGGTCTTGTCATAATTATACATTCCAACTAAAAGGTTTTTTGTTAATAAACTTTACTTAAATAATACAAGGACTTCCAGTCATCTGTCAAAGTCAAAATTCCCAAATTGGAAGTAATACTTTCTCTTATTTCCTTCCTATTGCCAAAGTTATAATCATTTTCTTGGCAAAAACGGAAATAAATTGTTATTAATGTCTTGGCTTTCGGGGCGGCTTCCTATGTGCCATATATCCCAGCCAGGAATAAACCAAAAGAAGTCGATAAATTGTTTGGCAAATTGTAAATTTTTATATGTGTATGAGAGGGTGTGTATGAGGGTGGGATTTAAGCCAATTTAATGGGCTGGCCACTTGTTGAGGGCATCTCCAGGCCATAAACTGTTTACGGGCCAGCGTTGAAATTGATTTGTGCCCCACACGAATCAAATCAATTGCATTTTGCTCCGCCAAGGCTCTGCCAAGGTAATCATAACTGGAGTTGAAGAAAGGCACTGAGGTAGTGGGTGGTAGAATGGGGTGGCAAGTGGATGTCTCCCCCACCACCACCACCACCTTCCCATAAAAAGGAAACGGCACGGAGATGAGCCTGCTGTGCAAAGGGATGTCCATAAAAGCCGGAAAAAAAAAATACAAATATAAACAAGGACACAAACCAAGCCGCAGGAGGAGCAGCAGGAGCAAGAGGAGTTATAACCACAGCCGAACCCCAGAAGTCCCCAGAACCAGAATGGAACCAAGGTCACCAAAACGAACGATCTGCCGGGGAATCCTAACCGAGAAGATGCCCCCAGGTCTCGTTAAATTGCGTGCAGCATCCGTTGCCGCCACGCCCACGCCGTACTTTGCCCCTCTATATCTTTGCTACCAAACCTCCACCCCTCCTCAGCCCCATCCCCCCCTCAATGCACAGTAAGAAAAATGATTCATAACCCCACGGAATTTTTGGCCAACTCATTGCCCCAAAAAAATAAAAAAGTTTCTTGGCCAAGAAAGTTCTTTGCACTTTTTTGTGTTTACTTTGCCGAAATTTTGACTTTTCTGCTATAATTATCGAAAACTAATTAAAAAGTTTAGTTTACAGAAGTTGCTGTGGGCTTAGAGGAAAATAGAGCTACTAAATTATGGCTAATTAGTAAGGAACTAGAGTTTATGGCTTGCAATTTTAGAAGAAACAGTATTAAGATTTTGGGTTGAAAAAATATATATATTTCAAGTTAGAGATTTAGAAGGGTTTTCAATAAAAGAGTATATATTCTCCTATTTCTTCCTTAAATTTAATAATTTAGCTTATATTAAAATATCATTTCTATAATATTATATATATTTCTTTAAAGTATAAAAAAGACCTCTCTGCTAACTAACATTCCCTTTTCTTATATTTTTTTAAATGGTTTCTATAATATTTTCAATATTACATTTATTTTATTTATGTTTATAAATATTTTTTAATTTATTTACTTCATTATTATAATAATATTTATTTTAAATTTAAGTTAAATCCTATTTATTAAAAGTCTCAAAGTCCCAAATAGCTATAACTACTACCTACTCCTGGTGTTACTTTTCTCAGACAATCAATAATTTCCTTTTCAATATTTTCCAATAGCTTCCAAACTTTTCCATAAATTTTAATAACTTTTATACAAAATTTCTATACTCTAAACTTGTAAATAAATATTTTTTTTTTACACATTTGCCAGAACCATCTAAACTGAAATTCAAACAGAACATTAAAATAACTTTCCCTACATCTGTTGTTGAAGGTTTTTGGGAAATGTATGTATTTCCATACAATCCTTACAAATCCTCAGCCTTAATCGGACCCTGTCAGAGTCCTTCTGTCCTGCTGGTTTATTGTCAATAAATAGCACCGTTTTTTCTCTCCGTGATCGTTTATTGTCGTTTATTTGCATTTGACTGTGCGCAGTGGGCAAAGTATTCAAAACAGATTTGTTGGCCAGATTGTACAGCGCTAACAGTTCATTACCCAAATGACTGTTTTTTGGATGGGGGAATGGGGGTATTTCGGGGTATTGCGGGGCTACAGAGGCAGAACTTGGACTGGGGCGATTTGGTTGAAAAAGGTTTCATTACAATTTCGGGGAAAACTTTTCCATTGGCGTTGCCTTTCCAGACGACAAGTAGAATGAGGAGGAGGAGGACTTCTCCTTGGTAGTTTGCGATTTGATTTAAAAGTTGAAGCCTCTGGCACCCCAACCGCCCCTCCGTTTTTAGTCGGAGACAAACTTTTTAATAGTTATTCATACAAAATCATTTACGAGTGGCCCTTTCCGGTAACAACATATGCTCTCTGCATAAAAATGAAGTTGCATTAAAAATGAGCAGAAATTATAACCAAAGAGGCGGAAAATAAGAAAAGTTTTTCCAAGATAAGTTGCTACCCTTTATGGGGATGAGATATTATCATTTTGTCCTTCACTCTATGGAGTGTGTACTTGGGTTCTTGGTTAGAAATACTTACAGGGTTGTTGGAGCCTGGTCTGAGTGCCTGTTAATCGGTTTTTAGATTAAGCTAGTCTGTCAGTTTTAATGCCTCTGATTCTATAGTATCTAGGTATTATAATTTAAACTTCTCTAAAGTATCTAAATATTTTTGATTAGAAAAATCTCTAGAGCTATCAGAACCTTGTCTGCTTGTCCAGGTATCCTCAAAACTACTTCTAGACTTAGACTCTCATATTAAGAGTTATCGACACCAGATGTTGTATAAAACCTGTTTTCAAGACTAGAAATCTATAAAATAATATGGAAAAGATTTGTGGACTATATCCTATAGGTTCTTTACAGCTGATAGATCGGAATAAGCTTCTGTTCTGTGTTTTTGTGGAAAGAATGTTAAGACTTCTGGGGAAATCATATCCTCAATTACATCATGTATCTAAATACTATATCTATTTCCTCTAACTTACCTTATTACCATTAATACAGGCCATCATGTGGTCTATCCAGAATCCTGACTGATCATTTAATACCAAGACTTTGAAAGACTTACCACGACTTACCGCGACGCTTACCGCTTACCATCGTTTTCATTTAATGAGAAAATAACTTGGATGCGGCCATAAATTCATTTCCGCTCTTTGTTTAATTTCCTCTGCTATCCGAAAAACTTTTCGCTACGCGCGAATTCATATGTAATTACAATTACGACGTAATCTCTGCTCCCCGGGTGGCAGTGTCACACCACCTATTACCTACACCCTGCCACTCTTGGTGATGACCTCCACCCAGCCCCGCCAGGCAATCTGCTCTGCTCGGTCAAGGTCGCGCAAAAGTTCGCTTAAGGTGAGGCGACGGCGGCGGCGTCGTACGTTGCGTATACTTGATATTTTGGCCTCCGAGTGTCAGGCACCAGAATTGATTCAATTAAAGCTTTTCTCCCTCGCCAATCGATACACAGAAAACGAACCGGGACTTCAAAGTATTCCGAAGGGGAGGCCCTCTGTAATTATAAAATCAATTCAACTATTTCTCCGCCACTTTTCCCGTCGACGAAACCGACGAATCAATTTCAAATGCCAAGTCATTGAACCTCTGTGTTGTTGCCACAAATTATTGTTTTGTGCCTCCAATGTGCTCTTCGGTCTGGTCTCCTTGCCTCGTTTTCACGGTAATTATTAATGGAGGCCCTTAATTTCGTCTAGCATGGAATATTTATTATAATTGTTAAATTAAAAGGAATTAAGACTCCAGATTCAAGTCAAAAACTTTAAATATTTAATAGACTTTAATATGAATCCTTTAATTTCAGGACTACTTGCCCCAACTGGCTGGCATAGGAGTCTGCGTTGTTAACTTGATGGACGACATGCAGGAGTACCAGCGTGGACTTTTTCTGCTCATGTGAGTTCTTGGATGTCCCTCCCGTTCTTCCTGCCACTGACTGCCTGCCGACTATCTTGTCTTACAATCCTTGCAGGTACTGTGGTCCTGCCATCCTGCTGTCCTACCTGTACATTCGCACCTCCCAGGAGCTGCGGCCGCCCGAAGGACCCTTCGCCGTGATGATGTACGAGCATAGGGCCGATCTGCGAATGCGACAGAGGTGAGTCGGTGATTTAGTTGAAATATTAGCCCAGCCGGCTAATTGGACTGATTAATTCGGTGATTTAACAATCAGAGACTAACTGGCTGGGTAATCCGAACACCCATTAGTCACCGCTAATGAGTTTCACTTTGAATCTTTAACTTCTTCTTTGGGTTTCTTTTGGGGGATTACTTTTTCAATAAATTACAAAGTCATTTTTAATTCAAAATTAGAAAGAGATTTATTATATCGGTTTTTATAACCACTCTGCACCCTTTCCTTTCCAGAAACTCTTCAACTTCTTCGGTGGAGCCGCGTCACCACTCCGGCGGCGGGGTGGCCGGCCTGAGCAATGGCGGTGGCAGCACTTCGAGGTCCTACGACCTGTACAGCGCCGAGTTGGATGTCAATCGAGAGAAACGGAAACAGAGGAACTTTGGAACCATGGCGGCCACCCAGGTGGTGTGCATGTGTCCCTTGATGATACTGCGATTCGCCAAGCTCTCCCTGGAGGAGACGTACGAGAACTCCAAGCACTTTGACTTCACCTACCTGATGTTTGTGTGGGTGGCCTTCCTGCCCACCGTCATCTTTCCGTGCATTTACGCCTCACAGATACTGCCCAGGTAAGTAAAGAGTAATTTTTTGGTGGTTTTTCTTTATTAAAGGACTTTCACTTATACCTATGACTAACCAACTATTATTTATTTTTTTTTATTTTCTATCCCAGGGACGAGCAGGAACGTCTGAGGGGCTACTTCCGGCTTTCATCGAAACGCAAGCAGAAGAATCAGCGTCGCAGCGATGCCACCGGAACCGGCGGCAGTTCCCGCGAGGACTCCATCGAAAAGGACGAGCCCTCCAACACCACAGGTAGTGTGCAGCACGGTAGTGTTAGTGGTGGTGGTGGTGCAGGTGTAGGTGCAGGTGGTGGGGCAAGTAGCAATCCGGAAAATCTACAAAAACACGCCACAAAGCTGCGACACGAAAGGGAGCGATCGGGCGCCTCCGCTGGAGGGGATCGCTACTCGGGAGCACCCTATCGCCAGGGCAAGGATAGGGACAGGGCAGGTGACAGGACTAGGGATAGGGAGAGAGATAGGGACAGGGATAGGGATAGGGACAGGCGTGGTGGGAGGGGGGCAGGCGATGCCGGGGTCGTTAATAATCTGGGCAAGGATGTGCGCGGCAAGAAGCATGACGTCAAAATAAACATCATATCCGACGGCGGAAGCGGCCACGCCCATCCGCACCGGAAGCTGGGTGGCGGCAGTGCTAGTGGCAGCGCCAGCAGCAATAGAAGCCGCCAAGGTCAGGGCTCGAGTCCGGGACAGGGCCATCGCAGCTCCCTGAAGCTAACCGCCGAGTGTCTCTCCAATGTCACCGCTTCGACCTACTGCAACGGCACCAACGGCAACGGCAGCGGAAACGGAAACAGCATCATCATCCCGGACGACAGCAGCACCAGCAACTACGGCGACGGGGAGGAGAGCTCCGTGGTGAGCAGCATGATGGTGCCGCCGCAGAGATGGCCGCCCGGCGGCGTCGGCCTGCTGCGCCACAAGGACGTCTCTTTCAGCGAGTGCAGCAGCAGCACCTTCTCCTCCAGCACCCTGGAGCGGGACCTGGAGATCATGGACCAGCTGGAGCGGGAGCGCAGCATGGACATCCAGGACATGTTGCAGCGGGAGCGGGAGCGCGAGAAGGGGGGTCGTGGCAGACAGTTGCCGGACATCGAGAAGCTCTACGCCCAGCGCTCCCCCAAAGGGGCCAGCAAGGCGGTGGCCAGGGGCTCCAGCGGGGAGGGTGGCCTGGCCCTGGTCCTGCCGGGCAGCGATCCTCTGAGCAGCCTCTCGCAGTCCCAGTCGCAGTCCCTGTCCACGGAGTACAGCCTCTGCTCGACTCTGGAAACCGGCGTGTCGGTGGCGCCGTCGGACGATAGCCTCCAGAAGCCATCACAAATCCGGCCGAGCCTCGAGGAGGTCGACGACGAGGAAGTCGTGCCGCCGGACTTCTACGACAGCTATACGCCGGGCGGATCGCAGAATCTGCCGCCCGGTGCTGCCGCCGTCGTCGCCGCCGCCGCAGCCGCTCCGCCCGCCTACCAATACCAGTACAGTCGCAGTCGCTTGAGCCGGAAGAGTTGCGGCTCCGGTTCCATGTCCGGTTCCGGCTCGGGTCATCATCATGGTCACGGGTATGGGCAGCACGGCAGCGGGGGCGTTGGCGTCGGCCATCCCGGACGCAACTCGAAGCGGGACAGCTTCAACTCCCTCAACGGCACTGATCTCATTGCCGGCGCCTTCTGCGAACTGGATCCCACGCAGCCGTTGAACAAGATGGCCGTAATCGAGGGCCGGATGCGCCGGAGTAGTCCCCGGAATGCCAGCTTTAGTTCCGGCTCCGGTGTCTCCGGCGGCCGGAGCTCCATGAAGTCCTCCTCGCGGGACTACGACTACGGTCATGGCTCTTCCAGTCACTCAGCTCATCCGGAATTGGATTTCAGGGAGAATATATTCGCGGAACTGTAAGGGAACTTGGAAGAAGGATCCGAAACTTGCAGGGAAAGTCTAAAAACAAAGAAGAAGGTAAGAAAGTTATAGAAGAAATCTACAAAGTTGTTGGAAAAGAAAGAAGTTGGCCGGGATTAGAACAATTCTTAGAGACTTTCTTAGAATTCTTAGAAGTAGATGGGACCTAGAAATTGGAATGGGGGTTTAGAAAAACTACCAAGGTCCTAGATACTAGTTGAAAGAGTTTAGAAAAATTGGGAAGACTTAAAAAATAATCTGAAGAGCTCTAGGAAATCGGATTTCTTTCAAAATAGTTAAAGAGTTCGGAAGATCCTTTGAAAAGTATCTAAAGAGGTCCAGAAAAATGCCTAAATCTTAAAAATGAATATAAAGATCTTTAGAAAAATACCAAAGCTTGCAGAAAGATTCGAAATAGAAATCTGAGAGATCTGAAGAATTTTTAAAAACTAGAGATTTAAAGAAGAACTCAAAAGGAGATTAAAGATCAGGAGAGAATAGAAAAGTCTGTAAAGAAAGGCTTCATTAGAAATCGGAAAGAATTATGGAAAAGACCAGAAGGAGTAAGAAAAAATCAAACAGGACCTAGAAAAAGTGGGAGGCCTATAAAAAGTATGAATCACGAAAGAAAACTATAGATGGGTTAACAGAAAATCAGGGGGAGGATGAAGAAAAAAATATTCAAAAGCCAAGCTAAAAGTCAGGACAAGCCTGAAGGTAAAAAGTTGCCAGAGCAGTCGCTGGTGGGAAATGGAAACGAAAAGCTTTAGCCTGTTGTTGGATTGCGGATTTTTTGCCAAGAATTATTAGAAACAAGAGCTAAGATTTTAAGTAGCAAAATTATTGCCAGAACGAACAAGAAACTGTGTTTTTTTTTTGTTTTTTGTCTATAGAATATACAGTATAAGGTATATTTGGAGTAAGTTGCTCACAAAAAAAAAAAAACAAAAACAAAGAAATATCTAAAATCCAAAAAACATAATAATAATAATAATAATAATATTAAATAATAAAAATAGAAAGTTATTGGAAAACTTCATCCTTAAAAGGTTGTTGAAAAATGATTGTTGATTGTTGCAATTGAGAAAGAACGAGAGTTTGATTGAAAATGGATGGTTTTGAGAAGACTTGAAATCAATGGGGCTATATAAGATATAAGAACTTGAAAAATCAAAGATGCATTAAAGTTAAAAAGAAAAACTAAATCAACAAGAAACTGTGCCAAGAAATATAAATGCCCCCAAAAATGTCGATGTCTTTTAAATGTTTAATCTGAGCTGTGCCAGTGTTTTTAAACTTTTTTCCCCTCGCCGCGAGCTACATACTTAAAACTTATATAAATTATACACAAATACGATATATATATATGTATAAAGATATATATATATATATACATAAACGAAACATATATGCTAAGACATATTAAATATTAAAGTTTATTGAATGTTAAAATCAAAGTCAAACATACAACAAGAATATCTTTAATATAAGAACTGGCAATTCTTCAGAGCCCCTAAGAATTGCACGCACACACACACACACACGCATACTACTACTACAACTACACTGAAAGAAAAGATATATTCCCCAAATAGAACATAAAGATAATGTTTAATCCTTTAATGTGTCTCCGTGTGTGTGTCTAGCAGATAAGTTTACAATTTTTTCTGTGCTGTTGTTTGTTTGATTGTTAGTTTGATAGTTTGTTGTGGGTGGACTGTGCAACGCCCTACTGTGACCCCTAACCCCCCCGAGAATAAAACGGTGGTGGCTGGGGCGGTGCAGTGGTGCGATATTTTTTGGGTGGTGCGAGAGAACAAAAAAAAAAAACAAAAACTAATAAAAACAAATTTTATGTGAGTTGAACACACAAAAGGAAATCTCAGTATTTTATTGGATGGTGGTGGTGCTGGTTGTCTTTTTTTTTTTGGGTTAAATCTACAGTAAATACCTACTATGTGAACTCGTAAAATCTTTTTCAGGATTCACCTCAATAAAAGTACGCAGCAGGCCTGGAAAATAATTCGCATTTGCCATAAACGCGCCCAGGGAGCTGGTAAGTCCACTGGGGGAACAACAACAGCAACAAAACCAAAAAAAAAAAAGGACACGAATAGGGTCAGTGCACGAGTTCAAAAGTTCAACGCGAAAAGCCACGGATTTCCCCCCGGGCTATATAACCCCCTTCTTCTCCGCTCTCTTTCAGCCTCCGGCTCCGGCTCCTGCTCCGTCTCCGGTTTCGCTTTCGGCTTCGGCTGCGTCCGTCCACCCGTGACCTGACCCAGTAAAATGATTAAGTGCCGTTATTTAGCAGCTGGCTAGATTTGTCCTCTTCCCTGCCAAGCCATTTCCCCTTCCAACGCACCATCGTTCCACTTTCCGTTTGTCTCCATTTGCGTTCATCTCTCTTCCTTTTATTTTATTTAACGCTTTCTTGTTGGGCTATACCCTTGCGAAAGGTACTGTTATTTAGAGGACCCACAAGTCTGATCTTTTGGCCAAAAAGGCTTTTTGGTGGCCATATTATAGATAAATGTTTATATGTATACGGATATGTGTATGTAGTTCACAATTATCGGATATAGTTCGCTGATGCTTCATCAACATTTGCTGCTGCAAAGCACGTTTATTTTTAACATTTTTTTTTTTAACATTTATTTTTACAAAACCTAGTCTAACCTCCAGAAAGTAATTTAAAAATCTGAACAATATCCCGCCCACAGATTCAGATCGATTGGTAATATGAGTCATTTGAGGTGCCCTGTTTAGAAATCGGATGCCTATTGGCCAAGATATAGACATCGCTGTCATTCCCTGTGTTTTCCCTGCGAAGGTCCAGAAGTAAACAATAAATTCCCAAAAATTATCCGTCCCTAGATTTTGATGCAGATCGATGGGGAATACTTCTACGAGTCATTTAAGGTGCCCCACTTATAAATCGGATGCCTATTGGCAGAGATGTGCGCATCGCTCGAACTCCATATACTTTAAATGGGAACTTTCAGAAAGCAAACAAAGCTTCACTAAAGCGTTGTTGAGAAAGTGTTCTAGCTGATAATTACCTGGTAAGTAAATATCCAAAAAGGTGAATAGAATATTGGGATGCGCTAACATTGCTTCTTAGCTTATACAAAGGTGAAGTTGCCGGATGCAGACGTCGATTGTAGAGGATCAACGCAGGATGGCCGCCCGAAAGTCGCCCCCAACGCAGCATGGCGCCCGAAAATCGTCCCCCAACACCAAGAGGATCTAAAGGTATCGATTTTCGCCCATAATATTGGAAAACCAACCAGAGTATTCTACGTGAACCACATGTTTGTAAATCAAGTATAAATCTAGAAGCTGTAGTGTAGTCTAGTATAAATTTAGTATAAAACCTGTTCAATGTTTAATAAAGAAAAATGTTTGCATGTGTTTTATTAAGGGAGGAATAGATTAAGCTGGAACAAAGAGGAAAAAAGATTTGGAAAAAATCGTGATGGTTAGCCTTTCCATTTTTTCGAAAAAACGGTCGAAAATGAGTTGTTCGATATCGAAAAACGTGGTATGCAGTTCGATGGACAATGGAGTGCTGATTCCGAAAATGTCCAGAGTTGCCAGATCGGACCAGAAACAGAGATTCTAGAGCCCATATCTCGGCCGTTTGTGGTCCGATCTGGCAACGCTTGGCGTTTTCGAAATCAGCGCCCCAAAGTCTATCGAACTGCATACCAATTTCGTCGAAATGCGACAAAAAGTTTTTCGGCGAAAATCGGAAAAAATCGTGATGGTTAGCCTTTCCATTTTTTCGAAAAAACGGTCGAAAATGAGTTGTTCGATATCGAAAAACGTGGTATGCAGTTCGATGGACAATGGAGTGCTGATTCCGAAAATGTGCAGGGTTGCCAGATCGGGACAGAATTGAGCTTTCTAGAGCTCATATCTCGGCCGTTTGTGGTCCGATCTGGCAACGCTTGGCGTTTTCGAAATCAGCGCCCCAAAGTCTATCGAACTGCATACCAATTTCGTCGAAATGAGACAAAAAGTTTTTCGGCGAAAATCGGAAAAAATCGTGATGGTTAGCCTTTCCATTTTTTCGAAAAAACGGTCGAAAATGAGTTGTTCGATATCGAAAAACGTGGTATGCAGTTCGATGGACAATGGAGTGCTGATTCCGAAAATGTCCAGAGTTGCCAGATCGGACCAGAAACAGAGATTCTAGAGCCCATATCTCGGCCGTTTGTGGTCCGATCTGGCAACGCTTGGCGTTTTCGAAATCAGCGCCCCAAAGTCTATCGAACTGCATACCAATTTCGTCGAAATGCGACAAAAAGTTTTTCGGCGAAAATCGGAAAAAATCGTGATGGTTAGCCTTTCCATTTTTCGAAAAAACGGTCGAAAATGAGTTGTTCGATATCGAAAAACGTGGTATGCAGTTCGATGGACAATGGAGTGCTGATTCGGAAAATGTGCAGGGTTGCCAGATCGGGGCAGAATTGAGCTTTCTAGAGCCCATATCTCGGCCGTTTGTGGTCCGATCTGGCAACGCTTGGCGTTTTCGAAATCAGCGCCCCAAAGTCTATCGAACTGCATACCAATTTCGTCGAAATGAGACAAAAAGTTTTTCGGCGAAAATCGGAAAAAATCGTGATGGTTAGCCTTTCCATTTTTTCGAAAAAACGGTCGAAAATGAGTTGTTCGATATCGAAAAACGTGGTATGCAGTTCGATGGACAATGGAGTGCTGATTCCGAAAATGTGCAGGGTTGCCAGATCGGGACAGAATTGGGCTTTCTAGAGCTCATATCTCGGCCGTTTGTGGTCCGATCTGGCAACGCTTGGCGTTTTCGAAATCAGCGCCCCAAAGTCTATCGAACTGCATACCAATTTCGTCGAAATGAGACAAAAAGTTTTTCGGCGAAAATCGGAAAAAATCGTGATGGTTAGCCTTTCCATTTTTTCGAAAAAAACGGTCGAAAATGAGTTGTTCGATATCGAAAAACGTGGTATGCAGTTCGATGGACAATGGAGTGCTGATTCCGAAAATGTGCAGGGTTGCCAGATCGGGGCAGAATTGAGCTTTCTAGAGCTCATATCTCGGCCGTTTGTGGTCCGATCTGGCAACGCTTGGCGTTTTCGAAATCAGCGCCTCAAA